TCGCTATTATTACATTAGCTTCAAAATCAACATCTCTTCTCGATAATGTATGTGGATTAAGGTTATACCTTTTAAAAAACTAACCCATTAGTATTGTCAATCGATAGCAGCAGTTCAGCTCTGGGCTGCATCTATTGATAGAGATATTCTACCATTATCAACAATTAGGATTACATCAATTATCACTGTATGTACAAAACTAGTAAAATCAGGCGATTAATCATCGCTAACACAAACCTTGGTTATATGTTTATCATTTAGTATGAAAATAGCAACCAATATATGTACAAATCCACGTACAACATTTGATAAGACTTTAGATACTACTGCAACACTTTAAATACTACCATAGCATTGAAATCATCTTACAAAATAAAATCCGCAGTTTTGAAAAAAACATTCTTCAAATAAGAGCTCATCATCTCGTTCTATACTTTTCATACTGTTGGTGATCTTTTTTTTCATGCTCCGTATTCATTGGACTAATATTATTTTCATATTTCGTTTTCAACGATATTGGTAAAATCATCTTTAATCATTTTTGTATCAAACCGATACTAGTCGTTCCAGTATTATAACTCAAGTTATTGTTATTAATAGTGCCAACTGATTTAGAAAAATAAAAAGAATTTTTAAGTCTTTATTTATTTTTTGATTTCATACATCGTCCAATTGTATTATTAAACAGCCGTCTGTAGAATACTATAATGTCAATAGAATATATCCAAACATTCATCATTTTATTCAGGTCGATTTTCATTGGTTCATATGAACCAATGGGATAAATTATTCATGGTTCATTAGATTTTTGAAAATCAATTTAAAAATAATTTCGATTCAAATAAACTTTCGCATAAAAAGTTTAAAAATTTATATGACATATGGAGATTAAATGTTTGCAATTTATATCGAGGCCATATATCATCTCTCATGGTACAAGTGTGTTCTGAAGCAATTCTTTTTCTTTCGCCATAGATTTACATAGATTAGATTTATTTATTATTCTAAATTTCATTTTTTTTTGTTAGATTTCTTTTTCTCAATTAATTTCCATCGATTATGTCGTCGTCTCGTTCAGCAAGTGTCTCGTCCTCATCAGGCGAGTCGACATCATCGAAAACAGCACAAGAAGAAACGATTGCCAGTGATTTGGTTGTTACGAAATATAAGATGGCATCAGAAATAACACAACGTATTCTTCGTGAAGTTATTGATCGATGTGTACCTGGTGCATCTATTAAAGATACATGTATTTATGGTGATAAACGTTTAGATGAAGAAACATTACGTGTATTTAAAAAAGATAAAGATGTTAAAAAAGGAATTGCATTTCCAACATGTTTATCAGTTAATAATTATATTTGTCATTTTAGTCCATTAATATCTGATCCAGATATGATATTAAAAGATGATGATGTTGTTAAAATTGATTTGGGTTGTCATATTGATGGATATATTGCTGTTGTTGCACATACAATTGTTGTTGGTGCTACACGAGAGAAAAAGGTTACTGGTCGACGAGCTGATTGTATTCTTGCTGCATATTATGCTGCTGAAGCTGCTCTTCGTTTAATTAAACCAGGTGAAAATAATATGGCTGTTACTGAAATAACCGATCGTATTTCGCATGCTTATCATTGCAAACCAGTTGAAGGTATAAAAATAATATATCACTTTGTTTTCTTTTTTTTTTGTTTCAAAACTTTAATAATTTAAAAATTCAGGTATGATGTCATATCAAATGACACGAGGTATTATTGATGGTGAAAAGAAAATTTATCAAAATCCAACTGAAATGCAACGACGTGAAATTGAAAAACAAGAATTTGCTTTACATGAAGTTTATGCTGTTGATGTTCTTATGTCATCTGGTGAAGGTAAACCACGTGAAACCGATATACGTACAACAGTATATAAGAAAAAAGATTTTATTTATCAGTTACGTATGAAATCATCACGTGTATTTTTATCTGAAGTTGAAAAACGTTTTTCATTAATGCCATTTACATTAAGACATTTTGAAGATGAAAAACGTGCACGTATGGGTGTTATTGAATGTGCTAAACATGATCTTGTTGAACCATATCCTGTTTATCAAGAAAAAGATGGAGAATTTGTTGCTGAATTTAAATTTACACTTTTATTAATGCCAAGTGGACAAATGAAAATAACAGGTCTACCAATTGATTTAGATTTGTATGAATCAGAATATAAAATACTTGATAGTGATATTAAACAATTATTAACAAGTTCAACACAAAAAAAGAAAAAAAATAAGAAAAAGAAGAAAGTTAATAGTAGTCAACAAGGCAATCAAGGAGCTGGTGCAATGAGTACTGAAATGATGGAAGCTGTTGAAGATGATGGCGATGAAGAGTTTGAAGATGAACCTGATGAAGTTATACAAAAAAAATCAACTGGTAGTACAAGTAAAAAGGCTAAATCAAAGAAAACAACTAATAATACATAAGAGCATATGTTGTCATCTACAAAAACTGTCAGTAATGATTATTTACAACAACATAAAACAACAATAACAAAAAATACGTTTTTTTTTTGTCTATTTTTCTTTTTATTTTATTCTCGTTCATGTTATAACTGACGGGAGTGGATATGTTTTGTCTTTCGACAATAAAAAAAAAAATATAATGCTGACTGACAGTCGCCTATAGACAACTTTAAAGAAAGAAGAAAAGAATATTTGTTGTTATTTTTTTTTGTTTTTAGAAAAAAAAAAATATATACCCATCTATAGATTAATGATTACATGAAATATTTATATATTTATTTTTTTCATGTTGATAATTATTTAAAAATTAGTTAAACATAAAATTTGATATCGATAAAATAGAAATATTATTTTAGGATATAATTTCATCGAAAATTTATATTCAAAATATAATTGATTCATTTCAAAAAGAAATATCTATTAAAACAAAAGAAATCATTCTTGATAATTTTTCTATATAAATAAAGAATAAATATCATTTTCTTTTTGTTTCCCTTTTTTATGATGTATCAAATACTGACAGATTGTTTTTACGAAAAATTTTTAATGAATTGCTTCTTCATAATTTTACTAAAATCCATCTGTTGATTTTTTTTTTCAATACGTTATCAGATAATCATATTGATCAAAATATATCTATATTTGATTGCCTTGAGAACATTCGTTTACTGCTTTCATAAAAAAGGAATATCATTTTCAAGATAGTATATATGATTTCTAATTTCGATTTAGAATGAGAAATATTAAATTTTTTCATATTTCTACTCAGTTTGAATAAAATTTATCGATGAACAGAGATAAAAGATAATTGAACTATTTGTATATATTACACCACTATTGTTGTTCAGAATATAATTAACTTTTTTTATGATCGTCTCAATTATCACTTAACCCAATGTACTCTTCTTATTTTTGTAAAACACGATCTAAAAAGAATGTTGAAGTATATAGAGTAGAAATTTGAAATCTGCCTCTCCCTCACAGACACTGACAGACACTAGCTAAAAACCATCACAGACCATATATCAACAATAACGTCTTGTTCTAATATTAGCAATAGCAGCTACATCGTGTCTCACATTTTAATTCCAAAGGAATTGTGCTAACAGTTTTTTTTCATCGAATATTATTTCTTTGTAGTTAAATTATCGCCATTATCTTCATTTGATTTTTTCAATTGATATGATATCATATAGAACTAATTTTTAGATTACATATATACCTGAATGATTGAAATTAGAAATTTATAGAATCTATTGATTCTTTATTCGGCAAAAGATCTACAAAATGATTACATAAATTTGTACGTTTTATGAATGATGATATTGTTTAAAGTAGTGTACCATATTCTTCCGTTTAGCTTAGCTCTGTTTACGATCAAAGAGGAGTTTTTCTACGTGTGCACTTGACAAAATCTCGGTACAGGATAGATGTATTTCATACTGAAACAAATATTTGGTAACTTTAGCCGACTCAATGATTGGTCAACTAGGATGTGTGCAGTATGAGCGAAAAAGACCATTTCAAATCCACACCCTCTTGACTGTTCTCCTTTTTCTATTCTGTTTGTCTGCATCATACATTATACTTTTTCTTCTAACCAGTGTACTCACTGAACCTACTGGACTACCGCTAGAGCAAAAATAAAAAAAAAAGTAAGTGTCCTATAGACGTACAAGTATATTTCAAGCATGAATGAATTTATTTTGTCATATATTAAATAGGAAATTGGCTAATTATTCTATTATAGATTATCGGTCAACATGTTGAATATTACTAAAAAAAAGTTGCTGACAATCAATTCTTGTTATCTTGATTCATATCAACGTCTATTTTCATGCTCAAAATTACTATCTGGCTACTCATACAAAATCAAATCGACCCCAAAACTTACCGATAATAAACGATATGAAACATTATCTACACCAGTTCATCATCATCATCATCCATATCAAATACGTTCAAACATAAATAATAAACTAACAAATACTCTATATCGACAGTTTCGACCAAATGATACGAAATTAATGATTCTTAAAGATGAATTCGATCCACTTTCGTTACAAAATAATAATAATAATAATATTATAAATGTTAGCAACGAACTAAAAAGTGTTAAAAGACTTGAAAAAAGTAAGATGAAAATTGATGAATAAAAGTATATTTTAAAAACATTATTTTTTTCTAGATGATCTTCTTCGTCTTATAAATGATTTCTATCGCCATGATGACATAAAAAAATTAGCTACCGATCATGGTCTTGATCTTTATCTCTTTAAAAATGTCTATGTTAGCTTTCGAAAATTTCTTATTCAATCAACTATTTTACCTGTTGATTTTCAAACAGTATTAAATGATATTATATCTGGTGCTAGTAAATATCTTCTTATAATTTTTTTTTTGTTTTTTTTTTTTATTAATTTTCATATTTCATCGTATAAGGTCATATTACGGATATGTTTCCGTACTTTTTACAACATGCACAACAAATGTTTCCTCATTTAACATGTATGGAAGATTTGAAAAAAATTAGTGATCTTAGAAATCCAGCTAATTGGTAAATTACATTTAATAAAATAAAGATGATTTTAAATTAAAAAAAAACAATTCTTTAGGTATCCAGATGCGAGAGCTCTGCAACGAAAAATTATTTTTCATGCTGGTCCAACAAATAGTGGAAAAGTATATTAATTATTCAATATATTTGAAAATTTTCTTTTGTTTTTAATAGACATATCATGCACTTCAACGTTTTATAAATAGTGAAAGTGGTATTTATTGTGGACCATTAAAATTACTAGCATCTGAAGTTTTTTATAAAACAAATGCTG